GATGCCCACCTTATGAAGAGTTGCCTGAAATTGTGTCAGAGTTTGTGAAAGTGTTATCAGAAAGGATGGATGATATTCACCATCAAGTATGTTCAAACTTCAAAACGTCTGTTGATGCGATGAAGTTATCTGATGATAAGAGATCTACTGAAGTCAGCTTTGTAGCAGGAGACAAGGTGTGGTTGTATAATCCCAGGAAGACCAAAGGGAAGTCTCCTAAGTTGTCTTCTCCATGGGAAGGCCCATATGACATAGTGGATTGACTCTCAGACGTGACTTTCCAGATAAAATGTGGTCGGCGAGGTAAGCCAAAGGTGGTGCATGCCAACAGGCTTTGGTGTTATCATGGTCCAGGACATTTCAGTTGGGACGAAGTGAACAATGGGAATAAATGATGCTGCTGAAGATGTGCCACCTGAAGAAGCCACCATCGAAGAAGAAACTCTACTCAGTTTTGAGAAGGGAAACGGTGAAGCTCTTGATGAAGTTACTACCACTGATGTGACTGTTACCGATGATAGGACATTTCCTGATGAAGTAGATGAACCCCAGGTGATGCAGAAGCCAACGAGACGGAGACCAGTACGGAAGAAGACACGTCCCGTAAAATTAAGAGACTTTGTTGAATTGTAATTTTGTGTTTGTAATTCTGTACATTTTAATTAAGTTATTGTTATTGGTTTATCATATGTGGTTATTGTTCGGGACAAACAATATTAAGGAGGGGGCAGTGTTGCGTCAGCGAGTCACATGACCACTGTGACGCCACGTTTCTAGAACTATCCTGTACTTTGGCGAATGCTCTAGTAATTACTAGATATAGGGTAGGCTGGTATATAAAAGAGGGGAATGTAATGTGTGGGTAGACAGTGAGTAATTGATCCGCAGTCAGAAGTATTATTGAGCACGTTCGTTGTTACAGTGTTTGTTTAGCGCGATTGTTGAAGTTGAGTGTATCGTAAAGTTGTATTCGGAAAGAATAAACCAGTTTTATTAAGTAAAGACTTGTGTCGTTGAAGTTTCGTCGGAACGAAGTTACGGAAAGTTAATTAACAAACGGAGACATGACAATAATAAAATAATTTACAAGCCTACTTCTTACTATAGTAAGAAGGTAACAAGACACTCATTTGAAAGCATCAAGCTCAGCTGAAGCTTCATATTTCAAATATCCTAAACTTAGAACACAAACTATGACACACCAGCTAAAAGCACTCTTTAAAATGCTCTGATGTTTTGGTTGCACCAATTACCTTAAGTACCTTAAAAAATTGTAACTTGATTCCAAAGACAATATCTGTTATCTTTAAGAAACTATTATTATTTTTACTATTCCATATTATAATTGTCAGGTTGTTATATTTGTGAAACAAGTAGAGCTTTAGGAATACGAATTTTAGAACATCAGTGAATTCACATCTTGGTAAAATTTATGAATCTGCCTTTGCAGAATATTTTACAATTAATGATTATATAATTACTGGGATAATATAGGAATAGTAAATTAACTTTCAGGTTATTTCAGAGATTTTTTAGACAGTTGACATGTTTTTAAAACCGCTTTCAGGGGTATTTTTTGGCTGTTCTAGTTGTACTATTTTTGCCAACTCCATAAGAATTTCATTTTAAATAACTATTAATTCAATTATTTATTGTGTAACTTGATATCTACTTGCATGTATGTTATACATTTTGTATATGTACTTGTAAATGGCAATGAACAAAAAATGTACATCTGCATCAGAAATTATCTCACAACTCACTTTTACCACATTGTAGAGTTCACTTCTATGAATATATATTAATTACTTAGTTTTAATGTAAGTAATATACCTATTGTTTTACAGCTCTATGTAAACACGTGTTACAGGTTTCTGTTGGTAAGTGACTTAAAAACAGTTACATGATACACACACACAGTGATTGCAAAGAAATGTGACTTTTTCTGATAGTACATTTCAAAATAAAGCAGTTAAAAACGATAAATATATTTCTTAATCTTTTGTTCTGGCTTGCAGTGTGAAAAAGCAGATATCTACCACCAAGATGCTTCTTCTTCCTCAAAACACAATGAAGAAAAGTTTGATGAAGGTACACAAATAATTTTAGTCATTTTTTTTGTATAAGCTTAATTTTATCAAAAAAAAGAGAGAGAAACAAATAAGACTTGTTACTTAGACACTTGATGAACTACTTGTAAAGCTAAATTTAAATGTAGTATCTTACCTTTAGTATTATAATACTGTTTCTCCTTTTGTTGTTTTTCAAGATTTAGGTTTATAAATCCTTTCTCTGTATTTCCTCCATTAGTAATGCATGTTCTCATATAATCTTACTTCTCATAGCATTTTCTCCTGCCTGGTCATCTTTGTCGTGTAGGTGGGTCACACAATATCTTTTGTGCTCAAATTTTCTCATAAGTTGCACAGGGAGGTAAGAGGAATTTAACAGAAGAAGTAAATGTCTTTTTAAATTCAATTTTAATTCTGAAATAATAATTTCAAATATTATATCCTACCAGTGCTACAACCCATATATATATGTGTGTGTGAAGGTATGTAGAACTGGAGGAAAGTGCCTGTCACTCTGAGGGAGAAGTAGAAGGAGCTGCTTCCATAAGAATGTGACAAAGATGATGTTGAAAACAATAAGTTGCACAAACATGACACTATGGTATTGTGGTCAGGATGTGAAGGTGTGGTATGCAGGCACACCATTCATATTTTACTTTCTTATTTTAATATGGAAATTTTTTCCACAATTTTTTCTATATTCTAAATGTGTGCAGTTTTCACATAACACATGGATAAGAAAGTTGAAGAGCTGTTTTTGTTTTATCTACCTTTGTTCTTTGTCATTCTGTGGAAATCATTTCTGGTCTGGCACTAGTGGGTATAGCTGTAAAGCTGCACCTTGAGTGAGAAGGTTGACAGCTGTATCCGCTATTTGTAAGTCAAGTAACATCTCTTGAAGCTACAACCTCTCTTACATTTGAATGGGAATGCCTGGCATGTGGGTAATGCAGGTTGCTCTGGGTAAATTTAATATTACCTATTCATCTAAGCAACATGAGATTTTATCAGTCTGGAACATCATCATGTGTGAGTCTTTCATCTTGGAAATAATTCTTGAGGTGGTACAGCCAACTTGATGAATTCACAGCTTCAGTAAAAGTGACTGTCTGTCATACAGAAGTTTATTAAACACACTATTGTTTAGTGTATTTTGAATAAAGATTATTTCATTATGTATTACACATTGTATCCAGCCCATTTATTTTTTAACCTCAGTTTTAGCAGAACTTGGTATTACTTTACAATATATCTTACCAAACCTCCTGAATGTATTGGACCTGTCTGATTTCCCCTTATAGGAAATTGGTTTAAAAAACATAGAGGCCCGGGAAGAGATTCTATACACATGAGCAGATGAAAAGAATGGAAAGATCCTTCAGAGGAATGTGCTCTGGAAACATGTCAGACCAGATTAATGGACACAGCCCATCATGTCAGATGATATTCTGATATGGTTCAATAGGATCTGAAAATACTGGACATACATAATGTAGAGAGAACCTGACTTTTAAACCCACATGCCAGTCACCAGATACATTGAAAAGTAATTGAACTAACCTAGCTAACACTGATAGGACTGTAGACATAGTCTGAAAAAGGAAGACAAAGGGAGTGTCATTATGAAAGAAGTTAGGCTGTTATAAAACCTCAAAAATGAGTGAGCACATGGGAAAAAAAGACTGACACCATTATGTTCATAAAGTATTAGAAAAATGATTTCTTAAACAGGAAAAAATAATCCAGTGGAAAGATCTTGGCTGAAATGAGTAGATATCAAGAAGAAATGAATAAGTACCAGGATTAATTCCAAGCAAAAAAGAACACACAGGATCCTCTGTTACTCTACATAAAGAAAATCATTAAACAAATGGAACTGAATACAATCCAAAACATTCTCCAGATCTATCATTATAACCAGGCAAAGGAACTTGGCACTGAAAAAATTAGAAATAACATTGATTCTCTAACCACAATACACAACTTTAGAAATCAAATAGCATGTCTCGGGTACTAAAATGATTAAATTGAGAAACCTCAGAAAATGAATAAGAAAATCCTAAAATCCCAGGATCAAAAATAGCAAATCATAATTCATAATTAGGAAAGATGTAATTTTTAAAGAAATATAAAATTTGAAAGTCCTGGTTGAAGATTATATAGCTTCAAAGAAACTAAATGAAAATGAAGACAAGATTACATCAACCAAATTTTAAATTATTAGCTAGGCTAAAAGAATCATTACAGCACCAAGATTAATGAAGTAAAAAAAAAACAAGAGTCAGTTGAAGAAACATGACCACAGGGAACATTTTGTAATCCACTTAACTGCCAAAGGCAGATGTGCCTGTTAATTGAATAAGACAATACAGAACAGATAAAACGTAGGGCATAAAAGTATGTGATTATACCTTATGATATCTCATGAGAACTAAGGTTATATAAAACAGATAATTTAATGAGAAAGCTAGAGAAATGTATGTAAAAATCTTAGGATTCCTAGTTCTAAATCTTGAGAAAACCAAGAAAAATAACACCATAATAGTAGGGATGAATATATTCCTAACCCTCTTTTTAATTATAAAATGTAAATATTTTGAATGTTGCTAATAGTACAGTAACAAAACTATAAAATATTAGGACTTATAGGTTTTACATATATACATACATATCTATATCAAGCCATCACAGCTTGATACATATAACTACAATGTCTCTTTCCAAGTGAGTGTTTTTAAGAGTTCAGGCACCATATGGTATTGTTACAACAGTGGGGGTCATGTGACGAGTATTCTAGAAGATTCGCTAGTGTCTTACGACAGCGGGGGTCACGTGACGAGTATTCTAGAAGATTTGCTAGTGTGTTACGACAGCGGAAGTCAAGTGACGCTGGTAGCATGTGTTGAGAGTCTTAGAAGTTTCTAGAACAGGCAGTATTATCGTATATAACTGTGCGAGACAGTGAGAGAGACAGACGGAGGCAGAGACGTAGTGGAGACGAAGCAGGCAGAGAGAAAGAAAGACAGCGATTACAGTCGGCAGGAACTGAGGATAGCAGACACAGAGATCGGAACTACAGTTTGCGGGGACGGACAATTAAGTCTAAGCTCGATAGAAAGTGAGTGAATTGTTGTGAACTATAGTGTGTGTAACTGTGAAAATTAAGTACATTACAAAGTTGTATTGAGGAAGAAT